AGGCCCCCCGCCAGGGCGGCCCCGGGCTCCGGTCAGGAAGCGCCGGGCGCGAAGGAGGCCTGCGCTGCCGCCCAGCTCCCCGAGGGCCTCGGGAGCCCCGAAGCGGTGGCGGAAGGTAAAGTCGCGGCGCCGGCGACGGGGCGTTCGGTGGTTCTCCACACGCCGTCACCCCGGCTGCCGCCCGGCGCCTGCCTGCTGCTGGTCGGGCCTCGGTCCTGTGGGCTCTGCTCGCCGCCGGGGTCAGCTAAGGGAAAGCTTCGTAGCTCCTGTTTATATAAAGCGTCTCCTTTGGGTGATTAGTTTTTGTGGTGGTTTTTTTCTCTCTGAAGTATTACAGGTTAGCAGGCATCCCGTTTTCAAAGTTCGGGGGTTTTCCTCCCTTAAAACATCAGAAAACTAATGGAGAACTTAAGCCGCTTGCCTTTAGTGCTGCCGAACACTAAGTGCTTCAGAAGTTGCTTTTTTCCAAATTTCCAACCTAAAATATGCAGTTTTACAAACTCGCATGCATTTTCCCAGTCTTCCCCCGTGTTTAATCTTTTATGGACTTCATAGTGATCAGTCCTAACAGTAACTTTCATAGACATATTTCGCAGTTTTTACGTGGTGCAGGATATGTTACTTTCAGCTAGTCTGTAGACAAGTCTTTGTAAATCCAGGCTTTGATTTGAAACAGTCACCTTGCGTTTAGTTTTTGAAAACAAATGTTTGGCTAGTGAGTTTGAGACTGGCAAAAGTGCAAGCTGCTGCTTCCAAAACTGGTTTTCAGAGTTTTTTGTCCACGTTTGCTTTCATTCTCAGAAGATAATTCTTTCACGCGTTCGGAAAAGTAGTCTAGAGGGGCACTTGTATGGGGCTGTACTGTGATCCTTTACAAGAGCTGATGTCAGTGGAGATTGTGTTAATATAAAGTTACAACTTTGTTGTGGAATGGAGGTATTTTGGAAGTTTGTGTAAAAAGCCCGGGTGAACTTCGCTTGCTCTGAGGTTCACTCAGTGAAAGCGTGATTTGTGAGCTTGTGAGGGAGACGAGAGAGATTCATGATCAAAGTGATGCTCATTTTCTATCTCCGGTCGTCTTTAAGTCTGCTGAAATAAGTGGTTGTTCCCTCTTTCCCCAAATTGCCCGTCCTATTCTTTTTCTCTTTTCCTGGCATACACCTTTGTCTCTGAGCTCAATGAGATTGGAGAATTGATCTGGCAAAAAAGGGGGGTGGGTGGGAAGTTGGGGGTGGTGGTGTTTTTTCCTCTCCGTCTGGAGCAACTCCCTGATCTGATTTTCTGTGCAGCTACACAAATAGCTGTGCCAGCCCAGAGCAGCAACTGCTGCGGTGTCGGGGAGCTGGTTTTATCAGGTGACAATGTCTTTTCATACTTGCTTAAGGCGTTCATGAAACTTCAGGTTTCAGCTGTTTTTTAATAATCATTGTAAGCCCATCTAACTACAGGCTGCAGCAAAAAGGGACAGTGCTTCCTCGTTTCCTTGTGAAAAGTGTTGTCTCTGGTTCTCATGCTGCTGTGGTTAGTTCACTGATCTGACCGAAAGCTGATTTTGTGTCGGGAGGAAGGGGGGTGGAACAGGGCTCAGTTCACAGTCATTTTCTAGGCCTGCGTAACTTCTAGGACTGCGCAGAATAGGAGCGGGAAGGGTATGTAGCCACCCCTGTCAGCAGCAGCGTGGTTTTAAATTGGCCCAAGGTGGCTGTGAAACTGCATCCGAAGGTTGCAGTCAACTGTGCTGTTCTAGCTGTGAATAACCTATCTGGGCAAAGGAGTGCCTGCCCCTAGCTGTTGATTTCTGTTGTTGCAGTTGCATTTATACAACAGGGAGTACAACCATGTTTTAAACAAATCATCAGGTTTTTGTGATTGGGTCATTTGACAGGAACGTTTTGAGCGTAGCTGTGCAAAACTGGTAGTGGAGGGAGCAAGACTGAAATAGCTGGAGGTGGGGATCTCTTCACCTGGATTTGTTTCTAGCAGGACGGGACGGCTGCTCCAGTGTTGAGTGTATCTGGATCACTTTCACAGGCTAGGTTAGACTTGTGCAGTTGATTTAACAGATTTGAATGGGTCACAATAAGCTTTTGTAATTGCAGCAGCCTCTTAACCTTGCTTAGCTGTGTCCGTATGACAACAACTTAGTGTATGCTGTTTACAGGGAAAACGCCTAAGGTGTATACAGAGGTGGAAGTGAATTTGCAGAGAGATCCGTATCTGACTGAAAACCAATCTGCAGTGCAGGAGTCTCCAGTGAGAAGTTCTTTGCAGCTGGCTGTTAGAAATCCTACCGTGATGAAGCCACTGAAGAACACCAGAGCTGGTGAGTGGCCCCAGCAGACTGATGAGGAAAATGAGGATTTGGGGCTGTTTATTCCATTGGGTAAGCTTTGTGCAAGGAACAGGCCTGTGACTTGATACAGTAGCAGAACTCTGGAATTGTGTACACCACAGCAGGGGCTGTTTAGGTGCAACTTTTTTTTAAGTTTTCATCCTGTGCTCCATAATTCAGTGGATAAATACAGGTATCCAAGCAAAACTTGCTGGAGCTGATCTCTGCAATTTTTGGTTACTAAAAACATTGCTTTCCTTCAGAGGAAGTTACGATTCTTTTGTTTCCCTGAGTCAGCAAAACAGTGCCACTTGGGAAACACTTTACGTCCCAGAAACTGTAATCTGCTCTTGCTGTATGGTGCCTGGAGTTGTGCAACTGTTTTAATCTTGATGGCATACTTAAAACACCTCCTTCTGGAAAAGGCATAAAAAGGCTGCTGAGACCATTCTGTAAAATCAGTCTAGTAGAGATGGCAAATACATAACCTTTATTTCCTTGACTAATGTGACTCACTCAGGTCCTGCAGAATTTGAATCCGTTATTCAAGACTGTTTCTAGTTCTTACGGCCATTTCCGTTTGGGTGATCTCCTTATCAGCTGTTGGAAAGCTGCTGCCACTTCAGTATCTGCAGAGTTCTAGCTTTTTTTTTTTTTAAACTCATACTGTCAGAATGTGCTGATGTGAAGTATCTGAATTTTTAGATTCCATTTCTATTAATTTTCAGAGGAGCAAGATGGAGAGGATATTGAGAGAAGGAAGAGGAGGAGGAAGGCAACCAAACGGAAAAGAGAAGGGAAAAGTCAAGAAGAGGAGGGATCTTTGTCTTGTGACATCAAGCTAGATGATACCCTTGATCGCACCTTAGAAGATGGAGCTAAACAACATAACCTAACAGTTGTCAACGTGCGAAACATCCTGCATGTGAGTGTGGTGGGACTATGCCAGGGAACGGAGAAGTGCCCAGCTTTTTAAGAAAGTGCAATCTAGACTTGAGTATAGTACTAATGGTAGCACTTGATTGCATGAACAAGGAAGACTTGGTAGGCACCCACGTCCTAATTTCTCCTATAAAAAGCTATAAAGAGAGAATCATGTGGTGTACGTATAATTTACCTGGACCTGGCTTTGTTAGTAGGTATTAATCCCTGGCTTCCATTTATTTACAATGGCAAATGGGTCTGTTTTACTGTGCCATAATAGCAGTAGCAGCAGTAATTGAACTAAAATGCATACTTCTGGTTCCAGGTGAGGAGATGTAGACTGTGAACTCACTATTTCTTGTTTTGAGTGAACTGTTTCATGATAAAGTCCTGATGGAATTCTAGCGGTGCTGACAGAAATGCATTACTCTTAGTTAATGACCCCAACCAACCTTTTAGTCCATCACACAACTTCCAGTTAGAAAGGAACTGCAAGAAGAATATCTGTGCTGTCACAGCTGTGAAACTCTAATTTCAGTTTATCCCATGAGCAGGGTCTGGAGACCAATAGTATTTATTTTCCCACAGGATCAAAAATTGTGCGCTTTTTTTTTTTTTTCCTGCAGCTAGTGTTCTAATTCAGGTGATCTCAGATATTTTCCCTTTTTGCCATCCCTGTGGCAAACAAACTGGAGACTGCCATGATTCTTTTGGGCAGATTCACCAGCTGATTTTGTGCAAGTGCCGTAAATTAATGCCTTTCTCTGTCACATGGCACTGTGGAAGGGCTGTAAATATCTCGCAGTCACCAACCTTCCCTGGAACCTTATGGTGGCATTCAGAAAATGTAGTCAGGGATACTGGGTCTCTTCTGCCTTCCCCTATTTATTTTAAAAATATACAATGTTTTCTGAAATGACGTAGCACAATGTTGCACAGAGTAAATTATTACATGCTTTCTCTAGAGAATGAGACCCTTACTATTTTGGAAGCCTGTGAGTGCTTAAGGGTTTAAGTTTTCTGTTGCAGCTTCATAGCAGCATTTCTCATGTGGCTGGGATCGGCACATTTTGCTGATGATGTGACACGAGGGAAGGGAAACTGGTGTGGACTTTTGTTTTGATTATTTTCTTTCCTTCTGGTGGAAATTTATTCTGTAGAGCATTGACAGAGAATGTAGTGCAAATGTTTTTATCACTGCTGTGCTTACTTTGTATTTTCTTGTCCAATCACTGAACAATCTTTTTTTATTATAGTGTAATTATGAAGTATATTGTACACTGAATATTTCTCCATCATGTTTCCAACTAGTTTATTTTAACCTTAAGTCTGTTTCTTTTTAACAAACAGAATGTAAAGGATACTTTTTTGTGTGTTCCTGTAGGAAGTGATCACAAATGAGCATGTGGTTGCCATGATGAAAGCAGCCATCAGTGAGACTGAAGATATACCTTTGTTTGTAAGTAAAAAGCTTTTTCAGTTTGTTTTTTCAGTTGTTCCAAATGCACGATACCTTCACCAGTCTATCTTCTTAGTCCATGATGTGGTATGGAGAGAATAGGTAGTACTATAATTTACGTTTCATTACCAGATTTGCCACCTGGATGAAGTGAGTGATGTCTGTGTATGAGTGTAAATTATGAAACAGAATTATGAGTGGTTATTTTTTATGTCACTGATCATGTCTAAAAGGTAATGAATTTAAAAAAAGAAAAGCCTTGTAGTAAAGAGTTGCTGGGGAAAAGTTTGCAATTAAGGAAAATAGCTGAATAGGTTGCTGTTGTCTTGTTTTAAACTCTCAGGAGCCCAAAATGACTCGTTCCAAACTGAAGGAAGTTGTGGAGAAAGGAGTGGTAAGTACGTCATCTGCGTTTACTTTTGCACCCTCCCCCTACCCAAATGATTTTGATTGTTGGGTCTTCTAAAAGAAGTGTAAAGCATGCTTTTATGTGATTTATTCTTAAAATGAAAAAATAAGTTAAAACAATGTAAAAAGGAATTCATTTTAGATGAGCATAATAGAACCAGGTCAGAGTTAGAAAATGCAGCGAATTGACAGTATCCATTATACTGCAGGTATGGCCTGTAGAGACCACATGGGCGGTTTAGAAAGCATTTGTTTGAAGTCTGTTGTTACTTGGCTGCTTTGGGGAGAACAAGGCCTCAAGCTCAAGTACTCATTTGATTTAATAGATTGTTTAAGCTGTGCGACACCGTGCTTTTCAGAGACAGTTGAAGTGTTTTTGCTATCTTTAGGTGATTCCAACATGGAATATTTCTCCAATTAAGAAGGCAAATGAGGTGAAGGTAAGTGAACTACTGCTGCGAAATCGGAGACCATACTAGAGGCACCCTGCTGAGCAAGGAATCTTTTGGAGGGGTGTGGAACAGACTTGTGTCTAGCATGTTGGGAGTACTGGTGACCAGGAGCATTGCAAACAGGGTATGCCAGGCAGGACAAGGCAGTTAACATAGCAGCAGGTGCACAGAGGGGCCCAAAAGAGCTGCCGGCAGGGAAAGACAGAACATGATGGGGTGATGACATGCCATAGGGAGTGGTCTTTTCTCCTGGGTGGTCCAGCTTCCGATGTTAGCACTGCAGCAGCCTCTACCTGGATGAAACTCCTGATAGTGAATGCCACTGCCCAGGCCTTGCGCTGCGAGGTGCTCCTCCCTGGGACTGTTTTATATGTTTTAGGACTGCCTGGTTATACGGCCTGGATCTCAATTTCTTTTTCCTGAGCTCTGCCTGCTCCAAAAGATTTGTTACCTAGGTGTAGGCAGGATTCAGCAGTGTAGCATGAGTGAATGGCCATTCAAGTACTAGAAGTATGTCTTTGAGATAGTGTCTGCTCATGCAGTGTTTCCATCATATAAATGCTAAATCATTTGTGCCTGTTCTTGCACCTTTTCAAACCACTTACCTGGCTTTACCAATCTTACTTTAGTAATTTCTTTGGTTTCTTCAGCCTTTTTCAGTAGTCTTCTTCCGTTCTGATCTTCAGGGTATTTCCTCAGTTAGAAATCTTTGGTCTGATAGTGCACCATTAGAGTGCAACTCTTTATTTTGCCTGTAAAAAGTTGTCAACTTCCTTCTGTTCTGTTGCAGCCTCCTCAGTTTGTGGACATTCCTCTTGAGGAAGATGATTCATCTGATGAAGAATACCAGCCTGATGATGAGGATGAGGATGAGACTGCAGAAGAGGTAAATACAACTTGTACAGAGATCTGTTCTGTTCAGCATGGAGTTGTCTGCATGTTTGAGGCAGTAGAATGCTCTCTTTATTTTAACGTTACAAGTCATCCCAGACCTTCTAGTAATCTTTCTTCAATGCTATATTATTCATTTGGCTAAAAAAGAGTCTCTGGAATATTAGTTGAAGCAGTATGATTGATTGCATTCTGCATCTTTTGCACTGTAGAGCTTACTGGAAAGTGATGTAGAGAGCACTGCTTCTTCTCCTCGGGGAGCAAAACGGTCTAGGACAAGGCGATCATCTGATGAAGAGGGAGGGACACTCTGCGAGGTAAACTTGCAAGAGACTTCTGCTTTCTTTAGAAACAACTTTCAGTCATTATTCCTAAATTACTAATGCAAAAGCAAAAATATGTATTATTGCTTAAAGTTGTGGTAACATTACAGGTGCTATGTGGATTTGGCATCCCCACTGTAATGGTTCCTGCATAAGCAGTGAAGTGCAACCCTTGCAGAAAGAGCTTAGTCTGAAATAAACACGAGTACTTAAAAAAGCACTGGCAATGGAAACAATCAGCTCTTCTTCAGATAATGATTATTTTTCTGATTATTTTTGAGAGGAGTGCAGGAGAATTGCTTTCTGTGCTTGGCTTAGGAGGAGAAAGTGATATGATAAAAGCATAAAGGTATTTGTGGTGACTGTATGCGCTGTCAAATCAGAAGGAGTATGTGCAGCGTGATAAGAGCTGAGTATCAGCAGACAAGAATGAGAAAGCGACTGTGAGAACTGACCACTGACACTGGAATCAGAGAAAGAGCAATAATGTATTGATACTTCCATGTTCTGCTCACCATGGGTTTGTTTTTGGGAGGGTTGGGAGTATGCCACAATTACTAGTGTTCCGGTTTATCAGCTCTAGTAATGTTGAGACTGATACTCAGATCTTCCAAATGTCTCCTTTCCTGCAAGTCTTTTGAATAGTAAATTTATTTGTACTTTCTGAAAATCAAAGTGAGTGTAATATGAAGAATCCATTTCCTTCTGTGAAGTGTTTCTCTCATTTCTATTGTGCTAGACTCTGGTCAAACCTACAAGGAGACTTATTCTGTCCTTGGAAATTTATGTTCTAAATAAAACCTTTTAATGCAAAGGCCTTTTTAATTAGATGGAGAAGGTTACTACACCTGTTGTTAGACATATTAGTGCTGAAGTAGTTCCCATGGGACCTCCACCACCTCCTAAACCAAAGCAAAACAAAGACAGCACGTTCATGGAGAAGCTGCATGCAGTGGATGAAGAATTGGCTTCAAGCCCAGTATGCATGGATTCTTACCAGGTACCGTTTTTGGGGATGCTATAATACTGTGGTTTTAGTTTGAGTAAAATGTGTTGGAAAGGAGGTAGCTTTCTGGTGTTCTCTGCTATTACTTTTACTGCATTCTGCTCTCCTTTTATAACTTTAAATAACAAGTTGAGTCTCCATAGTGTATAGGATGCTAGCTCTGTGAGAGAATAGAGGTAGCTGTTAGTAGTTAGTGACATATACTTTTAGGTTCTTGTATCGTAACTACACTTTCTATTTATGTTTGTAAGTCTCTCACTGCCATTGTTTTGGCTGTTAAATGTAATTCTATGACATTTACATAACTAATGAAAATAGTTTTCCTTTTGAAAGACATCCTGTCAGCTTAGTTGTGTTTTGCAGGCAAGTATACTGTTAACACCTGAGGAAGCTTGGTTGTAAAGAGAACCACTATTTCATATTAATAATGAGAAAAATGTTACTGATCTGTGTTACTGTGCAAGGGTGAGGAGTCATGAAGAAACAGTCCTGTGCTGCTGTTCAAGATTAATTTCAGATAGTGAAGAGGGCAAACAGAGTAAAACATACGTGAAAGAATCAAATATTGCAAGTGGAGATTGCTTCCTTGACAGCAGATAAGAGTTTAGCGTGAGATAAATGAACAATTATATATATATAAATGATAACAGTTTAATAGTGAGAGTAATGGAAGCTTAGCTTTCTCAGACTACCGAAGTAAATGATTCTTTGTGGCAACAACCTAATATTTTTGGTATTGGACTTTATTGGCTGGGCTGAAAACCCTGCTGCTGGAGAAACTGAGAAAAGCAGAGACACTGTAGTTCTGTTGTGCTTTTCCTTCACCTTTCAGTCTCTGGAAGACAGCCTCATTGCCTTCCGAACCCGATCTAAGAGGCCACTGAAGGACGTTCCTCTTGGTCAGCTGGAGGCTGAGCTCCGAGCCCCAGATATCACGCCTGATATGTATGATCCCAATACTGCAGATGATGAAGAGTGGAAAAGGTGGCTCGGAGGACTCATGAACGACGATGTGGAGAATGAAGGTATATGACAGATGTTTTGTTGTTGTTGTTCACTGGAATTGGGGGTTATATTGAAAGCCTGGAGCTTTTTCTTTCTATTTATACATGATGTTCTTGGCTGCAGCCATCATCTTGTTTAGTAATATGCATGTGTTTTGCATACCATCAGCTTTCCTCATCTTCTCCATGGACATCTGTGAGGGTTTTTAAACTTCAGGTGTCTCACTAGTAAATATTTACTAGCCAGCACATGCAGTAACTGGCAACTATAAACGAAAGTTACATGTTTCAGCCCTTAATCTATCGTGCTGTGTCATGAAGCTGGCAGCATTGATATACCTGAATCTATCTGACTGTGTCATGCTTCTTGTTAGAGACACGACTTGTTTTTGTAGAAACAACGATTTTGTTCTTCAAGAAGAAACAAGAACAAGCTTTGGGGCTTGACTTCCTTTTGCCCTGAATGTGCTTACAATTGTGCAAATTGAATATAAAGCACAAATTGAAGTAATACTACTTCACTCTTTCTAAATTTAGCTGAAACTCAGGTTACAGAGAATAAATCCAGCTTTTCTAAATGGGAATGGCTACAAATAAGGATGCTAGTAGCTCAGTTTGAAAAGAGGAGGGGCTTGATATGGCTTCCATAAAAAGGAACACGCAGTTAATTTCAAGCAGTAATCCTAGCCCTCTTTGAGCCAGGTCAGGCAGTAAACGAAGTGCTTCTGCTCCTGGCTACTGATTGGTCTTGGGGCAGGGTAATGATGTTTCAAAACGTGCTTCTTATTAGATGAAGCAGATGATGATGATGACCCTGAGTACAACTTCCTGGAAGATCTGGATGAACCAGATACAGAAGACTTCAGAAATGATCGTGCTGTGAGAATTACCAGTAAGTCCTTTGGGAATCCCACCTCCTTTCTTGTTAGGATTAGTAATTCATTCTGAAAAGTGACTGTTTTGTTGCAAAGATTTTGCAGTGTAGGCTAATTAAAAAAAAATCTGCACACTGACTTGAACAGCTTTTCTATGCAAAGCTGGCTTTCTGTGAATACGTGAAAGGATCTAGCCAGAGCTGCTGTGCTATCAGGTGCAACTTTCCTCCATAGCAAAGACTAAAGAATAATACTTACGTGATAGTACAGTCTTTCATAAAGCTTCAGCCAGTGAATGCTTGCCTTATGACTTGAGTGTGATTAAATTTTCTCCAGGTCCTTACAGTCTTTGAGTTAGTTTTATAAACACTTTATTTACCACTTTTCATCTTCTCAATAAAGCACACTTGTTTTAGGTCTTACTACAGGTTAACATAACTTTAAATTTAATTCTGAAAATTAGTTTTTATGTGATATTTTTGAATCAAAACAGTTTCGGCTGAAGTTTTTTGGGGCCCAGCATTAAAAAGGGATATAATATCAGGGGCCTTTCCTTCTTGGTCCTCTCTTTGCAAGAGAGATTCCTTAAATGACTTGATATCATGACAGGATTGCTAAGTGGTTCTTGGAAGAGGAATCTTCATACTTCTTTTTAATTTTACTTGCAGAAAAGGAAGTGAATGAACTGATGGAGGAGCTGTTTGAGACAGTAAGTGATAAACTGGGTATAACACTGAAGAATAGATCTTTCTCAGATCTGACATGAAATCTCTGAAGCCATAAAGAGGTGGTCTCTGTAAGATGCTTAGCGCTGACTATGTGCAAAGGGCCCTACCACAAAAGTGTAATTTTTAGCCTTGAGAAGGAACGTATATAGGAACTTCCATAAGTCCCTGCAGAGATGAATGTCTATGCTAAGAGGATCATCATGAGCTTTATTAGCTAAAGACAGTTGGTGGTAAATGTATTACTTGAGCTTTCTATTCCTGACTGTTGCTACACATTTGCTGTCAGTTTCAGGACGAGATGGGTTTCTCAAACATGGAAGATGAAGGTCCAGAAGATGAAGATAATGTTACAGAGTCACGGCCAAATTTTAATACACCACAAGCACTTAGGAAGGATTATTTGGTTATGCCGTAACATTTTAAAAAAAAAAAAAAAAAAATTCTGTTATGATAAAAAGCCTATGGTTACCTGCAGCTGTACTATGCCATCCACCAAAGAGATAATGCCGTTTCAGCACAGGCCACTGTTTTGAAAGCTCTCGGCCATTTTTATTTATGAGATTGAACACTTAACTTGACCCTGTTTTTTCTATCTGCCACCTTTGACTTTACTGATTGCGATGCATCTGAAGAAGATGACGACAACAATTGAAAATGTAACTGTTCAGAAAGAGACAGGAAGAAAGCCTGCACTGAAAGATTGGTGCCAGCTGTTCTGTATCATAGCTGAAAGCAGCTGAGGTCTTTCAGAATGGTAATCTATTCCAGCAAGCCGTCATCTCTAGTGGAGGATTCTGTTCCTGCTTCTTTAATCTCCATGCTATGTATACTGTCCCTGTGTATTTAAATTGTGTTTATTTCTCAAGTCTGTCCACATATCCCCCTTTTATTAGACTAATTCTTCTGAAAAAATTGCTTCACTACCTGCTAAGTCACTTACTTCAGCTGTTAAACTAAAATAGTTAGTGGAGCAGGATATTGCATGACTGGCGATGATACCTCAAAGCAATGAGTAGAGAAACGGTGGATGCTGGGGTGTTGCTGCAGATGTGATCAAAGCTATGTAGGTCCTGTGCAAAGAAGGTCCCAACCTCAAAGTGATAGCCACTCTAGCTCTCTTAATTCTTGTGCTTTACACCGTGGTGGTGGATGTAGTGTCTGAAATAATTTCAGAAAAATAATAGTTTTCTTGCCTTTTATTTTATTTTTTAATTTTTTTTTATTGTTAAGGGGCGGGGTGAAGTTCACTTACTGCCCTTACATTTTTTTGATGACAAGAAATGCTTGAGGAGGTGGTTTGACCAAGCGTGTCGCCTTATCTTTTAAGTAAATAGCTTGGAGGTAACGGTGGCCTTTTCTAAGGAAAAAGACTGCATAAGATAGCTGAGACCTAGGTCTGAAATGACTAAGTTCGGAAATTAGCTCTTGATGATTTTTGGTATGGGTTATACTTGAAACAGTGCCTTGAAGAGGAAAGGGTCTAAAGCGTTTCTTTCTAGGTAATAATGCCGCTCTATTTAACCAATTACAGAAACTGCGGTGTGAATGGTGTCTCCTTGTTAATGGGGCAGATCAGCTCAAGATCAAGCTGTATCTGTTTGGGAAAGGAGCTAAAATGAAGGCTGGAGTTTCTTGATACTCTCTCTGGGATGAGCAGTACCAGAGGGGAGTGCAGCAATTCTTAAACCAGCTACAGACTAAAAGCAGGGAAACTTTATGCTCTCTCCTATTATTTGTATGCATTTGTCTTTGATAATGGCTAGTTGTATTCATTTTTCTTTGGTGGGCGGTTCTCCCAATTGTTTCTTCCCCAGTTTTACCTGTATACAGGATTCTTAAAGTTGTTTTGTGGCAAAATATCCATTTGCTAGGTTTATTGTTGTTTTTATGATACCTTGCATTAGAAGCATTGTAGAACAACTTTACTTACAACTGACTTCAGGCCTATTACAGAAGTGAAGCTGGTAACAAGCAGAAATCAGAATATTAAATGGTGTAGCTAAAATAAATAAAAACCTGTCATAAGGCAGGGGGTAGTTGAAGCTGTTTTTGAAAGGATGGTAGTATGTACATCCTCTTTTCTGCTACAGGAGTAGCTCTTACTACAGTATCAGCAGATGTCTATAGTAAAGTATTCTGCATAAAGCTAGATAATAATTTATTTTTTTTTTTAAGTAACAGCATTTATGTCAGTGTGTGATCTTTCTGGAGACTCTTGTGGTAAAATGCCACCCATAATACCTTGGGCTCACACCTTGCCTGATG